ATCCTTTTCTTCTAGGGGATGGATTGGTCGGGATGGACCTTTCCGCCGAGCAATTTGATGTCATATTGGTCGGAGCCATCCCGATCAATTCGATTTCCTCCACCACAGTGGCTCGTCCCACATCGAGTCGCGCACCATTCGGTCAACCTACCCGAGCGGCTACTACTGCGCCATGGCACTCGAATCATCCCGACTCTGGGATGAAGCAGAATCAGAAATTGTAGAGAATCCACTTGTGGGGAAGATTCTGGACCCGATCTTGAGGTCGATGGCGAGGTGAAAGAAGCCATGGAGGAAGGAATTCTCGGGTGTTTCAGAATACAAAGATTTGTAGAGAATCTGCTTGGGAACCCCAAGGATTTCCCAAGACTTGCCATTGGCCATTTTGGTCCCCTCCGGATTTCCAGCACCAACATTAAGGAAGAACTATTCTGTCATAATAAAAAACTGCAGGCAACGAGTCCCCCTCTTATTTTGATACAACATCCCATGTTGGTTGTTAGTCCTCCTGTATATTTTGATACAACATCCCATTTTGGTTGTTGACACACTTAGCTTGGTCCAATTCTCTTCCAGTTTCCTAAGGTGCGGTGTTCAGAGGAGATATCCGGCTGGGCCAATGGAAGTTCCACCGCCGGATGCAAGAGAGCGCCGCGAGGTCTCCGTTGGCCGACCGCTCAACTACCTCACGGTTGCGGAAAACATCAAGAGAAGAGATCATAGCTCTGTAACCACTTTTGTGCGGGTTGCCGTTGTTGGCCTTTCTGCTTTGTGCGGCTTCGCTGCCGATTCTCTTCTCCGTCTTGGTGATGGGATTCGGTTCGCGCTCTAATCACACTAACAGCTAACTCCATCGTCTTTCATGGCGTGGTGGTGCAATTGGGCGATGAGAGCATGGCTGCGGAACGTCCTTTCCATCACCAACGGGCCGACACATCATCGCCAATATGAAATTCACCTGCTCGTCGGCGGCGGGCTGGGGAAGCGGACGAGCAACGGTTTTGCCGGATGACATATCCGATACGGTAAGTGGGTTGCGGTTACAGGTAAGTAATTCAACCGTTTCCTTTTGATTAACAATAATATTTTTTTCTTTACATTTATTCTCTTTGTTTTTTTCTTTCCTCTTCTCGTTAGTCTAAATAATATTTAGTGTTTTTTTTTAATTTCGTCCATCTTTTTTAGTTGTAATGGTTAGGATTATCTTCTGTATCTTCTTCCCTTTGCATCTCTTATTTATTTATTATTTATTTTATTTTCCCGTAATCTTCTTCATGAATTATTATCGGTTTATTATTTGGTTTCAATTATAATTTCAAACTCTTTTAGAAAACAAAGTTTGGTGCCTCATCCGGCGGTTTTCTCCAATCTCGTCGTTTTCGCTTTCGTGCGACTGTTCGGTACCACCTCCGATAAGGCTCCTTTGCAGGGTGGGGTAGTTCATTGAGCTTGTGAAGCATCTCTGGTAGAGGTCCGTTGGTACTTGAAATTTGCCTTGCTCCTTTACGGGTCGTTTGTGTGTCCATCTTGCAGGTAGTTTGCACATCAACTCTACTGTTGGCCTATTGAAACTTGACTTATAGGCGATATGAAGGTTATACTCGGCGGAGAGGTGCTTCAAGAATTTTGCTGCAGGAAGACTTCATTTGCGTTTATTCGTTTATTTATGGTTCTAGGCATACTAACAGGGCTGCCCATTTAGTGGCATAAACGGCCCTTGCATCGGTAGCACAACACTAGGTTGACTACCGCTTTTAATTTTCAAAAACTTGTAATACGCTATCTATTTACTATCTATCTATGGCAAAAAAAAAACTCTTGCTTGTTTCTTTTTCCCCAAAAATCTGGCGCTTTTCTAGCATTAGGCGGCCAGTAATTATTAGTAATAATAAAAAAATAATGGTGAATTAAATTATCAATTAAATGAGCCTTGGGTGATGAGGGGAGGTCACGCGCCTGCTCTAAGAAAGTGCTAGCTCAAAACACGCAGGCGGCATGGGAAGAAAAAAAATGTAGTGACAATTATGCCCTTCCTTTAATTTTTAGCCTACAAAATTTCAGTCAACTCATAAAACAAAAAAGTATGCAGAAGGGTGACTTCCTATTGGTTGCCCTATGTTGCTGTCATCGTAACAACAAAGATGGTGTTGTCACCATATCCAGCCCCTCATATTAAAGCATTTGAAGTTGCAAAACTTAAGAGCTATAGAAGCAAAATTATATATTTGTAGTTTATCTCATACATTTAGAGGCACATAGCTGTATCTATTGAGGCAAATTATATATTTGTAGTGTATCTCATACTTTTAGAGGCACATAGTTGTATCTATTGTGGAAAATTATATATTTGTAATATATCTCATACTTTTAGAGGCACATAATTGAACCTATTGAAGCAAATTATACATATTTTGCATATAATATCCTTTTAGAGGCAAATACAATATTTGCCTCAACAATTAGCCGCTATATGTGGGTTTTGTTGTAGTGGAGTTCAAGGTGTGGTTTGAAAGTTGTGATTGTTAAATAGATGTATAATTGTGAATGCATATATAATATTATACTGTAGTATCGAATTTGATACATTGTAAAATACAATGTTTGGTATGTGTGATTGTGTATGTCACATTACATCAGCGAAAAACTGAGACAAAACAATCTCAAATCAATTATCTCAACAATCACAACTAAAAGCTGAGATATAACAATCACTTATTTTGAGTGATAGTTTCTGTCACATCACAGAAATAATCAATGAATTGTTTATGCTAAAAAATAAAAATAATACATTCTAAACAATACATGTATAATAATAATGTCACTAAAACAACCGCAACTTTCAAACAATGACGGACCTATTCATACCCAAGGTTAGTCAATTGACAAACCTTGCTTACTAATTACACTTCCGTTCAACCACTAAGGCACTAACCAATAGTTGTTATAGAAATTATTAAAATATATATAATGATTCTAATTAACTCCTAACAATCTGAAGAATTCAAGTGGCCAAGCCCATTAAGAATTTATTAAATCTCCTTCTTCTCTTTGGGGAATGAAATTCGTCAAGAACGATCTTCGAAATCGTATGGGGACCAATTTATGAGTGATTGCCTGGTCACTTTCATTGAAAAAGGCGTGAGTCACAACATAAGTGATGAATGTATAATAAAAACTTTTCAGAATATGAAAACACGTCGTGGTTAGCTATGAGAAGCGATGAATCGATGTACTTTATTAATTAAACATTTTTTATTTTATTTTTAATTATTTTTTAATTTATTTTTGTGAATACCTTAACAAAATTTCTGGGTACGCCACTGCTTTCAAATGATCCTGAAGTAAGAATAGTATATATATCACCATAATTTCTTAATGGTCTATATCTCAACTATTTGAATTCGGTTTTTTTTTTACAAAAATTAATTGGGATTTGTTGTATACTGTTGTTAACCCGTGAGCGGGTCGATTGGTCAAACCGCTTGTAGAAGTAGGAGAGAATTTGTTGAATATTTAGTAGGAGAGAATTTTCAAGGACTAAAAAGTTTAGAATTTGTTTGGAAATATTTAGTAGTCCTTAAAAAGTTATCCGAGTTTGACCAGTCCTTAAAAAGTTATATTTGAAACTTGTTTGGAAATATCTAAAATATTTGTTGTATACTGTTGTTAACCCGTGAGCGGATCGATTTATGTCGCCTAATTGTAAAGTACTGATCAAACTCGGAGAGATGACCTATTTGACTGGCTGACTGATAGATATTTCCAAAAAAGTTTCAAATATAAACTGATGAGAATTAGGATTGGGAAATAATGTGGTTTGGTCTAGACCGGATCACATATACAGTTTATGATTTCAATCGACTAGTTGAACCACAAATTATAGACCAAGATAAATACTATACACAGTCCATACCATATCACACATGTGCGATCTAGTTCGGAATACACATACCATGTTGAACAAAAAATGAACAATTTGTTTGACCCGCCAAACAAAAATCACAGAAAAATTTTGGTTTTATAATCTAAATTCTGAAACTCATGCATTATTTTGATAAATACGGATATTGTCATTGGTGTCAAATGATACGCTTATGTGACGATACAAGTTTAAGAAAACATATTTTGTGCAAGAATGGTCATTAAAATAAAGAAATTAACTTCACTAGATAATAGGGTAAAATGTCTTAAAACTCAAATTTGCCTACTACGCTCCCTAATATTTTGTGACAAGAATGGAGCGACATGTAGTTGAGAAGGAACTACAACTTGTCAACTTCCCTCCCTAATATTTTGTTTGATGATAATATATCTATGTATAGAACATACATTATGCATGAATTGAATATAATATGAGTCGTGTCAAACAGATAAAAAAGCAAGTCAGCATGGGGACCATTTCATAAACGAGACATTTGGCTAATGTCTCATACTATCAAATTAGTCATTTAACATGAGTAAGTTTGAATTATCTTACCCTATTATGGGTAACTGAAATCTCAAAATGGATCAAATTCTTGAAATTTGTCTAGAATAAATTGATTCATCCAAATTTTTTACTGACAACTAAGTGATAAGTCAACTTGGTCCAATTATCTTAAAACGAGACAATTAAGTCGCATAATTGATTTGTTACAATTTATCATCCAAACTACCCATAAACTTGTTGGGGGAAATGACCAAATGAGTGGTTTAGAAAAATGACATAGTTCTAAAAAAAATGGCATACCTCAGGTTTTAAAACATAGATTTCATAACATAAGAAGTTGTTTGAAGAAACATAGTTCATGAGCCTAAAGGGCCCTATATGTCATTTTTACTTGTAGTGAAATAAAGAGAAGTAACGAAGACAAATTTAAGCAGGATCGATGCTTATTATTTGTAACATTATTACAAGGCTTGTCTTCAGAGTGTACCCACCTTTTTTTATTGCACGAAACACAATTAAATCAAAATAGATCAACGAGAGAAGCCACTTGTGCCAAGTTAAATGATATAACTTAAGCAAGCTTAACTTTGGAGTCATAAGCAACTCCAGCCTTCCAGAAACGAGGAATAACGCTATCCAACTTCACGAGTTTCACTGCTCCTCCTGAGGCAATATTCTTGAGTTTCAACCTCAACGAAATCGGACCCTTCGGCGGATTAGTATCGGGCAAATCGTAAACGGCGCCGTAATAATTCCTCATGTCCTTCCATTGCTTCACACTTCCGTCGTAGATTTGGATGCCTAAAACGTCGTATTGGCCACCTTGGTACAGTAACACAATTGACAAATATTCCGCAAACTTGCTCTCCTCCGTTACCTTCACCATTAGGTTATCGTGGCCTGGATACTTGCACTGAATTCGCTCGTATTTGACGTCCACGACAACTTTGGGCAGCAACCGGGAAGCCTTGTTCGGTAGAGCCATGGCTTCGAAGGCATGGGAGCTGAGCATGAAGTCCGCGTGGTCTCGATCCCCGAGGTCCGTCACCACTATTTTCACTCCTTGGCTGTTGCAGACGCCTTTTATCCCGCAACTCACCTGTTCATCATGCCGAGGATTTGTCACTTGTCAGAGTGAACATCTTCAATAAAAATCGACTAGGGAAAAAAAAGGCGGAAGTTGCTGCATGTAATTAATTAATATGACCTTATAGCATGCACCACAAGCAGCTCCATTCTTCCACAGTTTGCTAGAGGCGGCTGCGACGTTGCCGTAGTTGTAAGTTATGCCAGTGTCGGCATAGCCGCAAGCTCTGCTCGGGATTCCTAAGCCATCGGGCTGGCGATAGTAAGTGACTCTGCCTTTCTTAGGGGAAGAGGGGACAGGCACAGGATCGTGACCAAATATTGTAGCAGGCAGAAGCACCAACAGGCAAACAACTACGCCAAAAAACAAACCCTTCATTTTGAATGAATATATTGTTAAAGTTGGGAGATTGATATGAAATGTGATGATGAGTAATGAGAGTGGGGGATATGGAGAATGGATGAAGGGTTATGGTATTTATAGATGAGAATTGGTTGATTATTATTGGCTAATTGTTAGTATATATTATTCGATGATTATATGGGTAAGTAAGTACCTTTGGAACGTAACCCATTGATTTTGAAATTTTTCCCCCCTGTTTATCTAACTTAAAGCACTTGACTTTTTGTGTTCATGTCTTTAGAAAATGGTACAGTTCTTTATTCTATTTCTAATTCTCTCTTGAAAATTAATTTTGGCCATTGGTTTCGACTAAACAAATATATTGGCCATTGGGTTTGAAATAATTAAGGTTCAAAATCCGTGGGTTGTGTATGCATATCCGTCTGTGTGGTCCTTTTATGTGCTTTTAATTTTTTTTTCTTCTTTACGCGACCTAGCTAGCTAGCTTCCACCATGCACGTACGTTGTTTTGGAAAAGTTAAATGCATGCACAAGTTGGTTGTTTTCCACGGCCTCCCTTACGATTACCATGCGCATTGTTATTGTTACGTTGTTCTGGAAAGTACCATGCACAAGTTAGTTGTTTTCAACAGCACACTATATATTTAGGAATTCTATCAAAAAAAAAAAAAGCACACTATTTAGGAGTTTGGGGCTAGCTATTGGTTCTTATGAACGACATAGTCTTTTCCGGTAGGGTTGGAAAACGGTACAATGTGATTTAACCGCACTGGATTTATCCGATTTTTTGGATGAGATTTGTGCCAAATCTACAATCATAAATAGAATTAGATTGAATACGGTTTTGAATCGTCACTGGATAGGATTGAATACAGGTTGATCCGGTTTAACCAAAAAAACCGAAAATCTTCCCATTCCCCAAAGCGACTCTGTTTTTTAGCTATATTAAAAAACAACTGACAAAAATCATATCACTTCCCTACTTGCAGACCAGTTTAAATGTCTTGATTAACTAAGGATTGGCCTGTTAGGAAGCTAGCTCCGTTCGTATGACGGAGAAGGAGATCTCATGGAAGCCACATTAATTCTCTTGAATGAATTACTCTCAGATCTGATGGCTCCGTCCATCCACACATACAGGCCACTTCACGGTCAATATATAAGAGACGAAGTTAACAAGCCTCTTCCGCTCTTCCCATATTTTGTGGAGTTAGTGTTGGCTTATCAACCACTAGCTCCGTTCCTTGGAAAATCGCAACGTACGTTTATTACTCAAAAAAGTTCTGCACTTGGTTAGACGAGGGTTTCGGCTAAATAATTATTTTTTCACCTCACAATTACAAATGATTGGTGAAGTTGCGTGAATGGTTGTTAGTATTAATGATGCTTGAAAAAATTAAATAAATTTGTTATTAAGCTTTTTTCCCTTGTATAATTTCTTTTTTTCCTTGTCTCCTTCGGCCTGATCTGGCTTTGGAATTTTACCCACTTTACATCTTGGAGAAGCTCCGTTTGAGCTCCCTCGTGCACTTAGTAAGACATAGAATTTGAATACAAGCACGACATAGAATTTGAATGAAAAAACATGGGAGAAAGAAAATACATACAGTCAGCTGTTTATTCACTTCACATGTCACAGATATGGTTTTATTTGTAGGGGGGGAGGAATATTACAAACAAAGATGCTTTTTATTTGCATCATTATCACAAAGATTTGTTTTCAAAGTGTACTCACTTTTTTTTTATTACACGACATAACACACAATTAAATTAAAATAGATAAACGAGAGAACCCACTTGTGTGCCAAGTTAATTATATAACTTAAGCAAGCTTAACCTTGGAGTCATAAGCAACCCCAGCCTTCCAGAAACGTGGGATAACGTTATCCAGCTTGACGAGTTTCACTGCTCCTCCTGAAGCAATATTCTTGAGTTTCAGCCTCAACGAAATCGGGCCCTTAGGTGGATTAGGCAGATCGTAAACGGCGCCGTATGCATTCCTCATGTCCTTCCATTGCTTCACACTTCCGTCATAGATTTGGATGCCTAAAACGTCGTATTGACCACCTTGGTACAAAAGAACAACGGACAAGTATTCCGCAAACCTGCTCTGCTCCGTCACCTTCACCATGAGCCTATCGTGGCCCGGATACTTGCACGGAATTCGCTCGTATTTGACGTCGACCACGCCTTTGGGTAGCAACTGAGAAGCCTTGTTGGGTAGAGCCATGGTTTCGAAGGCGTGGGAGCTGAGGATGAAGTCCGTGTTGTCTCCATCTCCGCGATCCGTCACCACTATTTTCACTCCTTGGCTGTTGCAGATGCCTTTTATCCCGCACTTCACTAGATAACAAGCGCCACAGGCAGCTCCATTCTTCCACAGCTTGCTAGATGCGGCTGCGACGTTGCCGTAGTTGTAAGTTATGCCAGTTTTGGCATATCCACAAGCTCCGGCTGGCGTTCCTAAGCCGTTGGACATGCGATAGTAAGCGACTCTTCCTTTTTTAGGGGAAGTGGGAACAGGCTCGGGATCATGAGCCAATGCAGCTGGTAAAATCACCACCAACAGGCAAACAACGAGACCGAGAAACAAACCCTTCATTTTCTATGTTAAATTACCGCGAATTGATTGAGAGATGAGGTGAGTAATAAGGGAGGGAGTTGTGTATGGAGAATGGATATGAAGAGGTGTGATTATTGATAGCCTGACCTGACGGTATTTATAGATGAGAACCTGGCCTGTAGAGTTTTGGTTATTGACTAATTTGTTGTTAATTTTTGTGATTATGTATGGATAATTACGTTTGGATTGTAAGCCAATGGTTTTGACTTTTCGTGTTGCCTAAGTCCTAACTCGAACGGTCAAACCATGATTTGGGGAAGGCAATGTTAGAGGTTTTATTTCTGAATCTCTTCACGATTCATCTTGGTCATTGGATTTGTCAAAATAATACATTCGAGTTGGTCGGGAGTGTGGTCTTTTGAGGTTGAGATGTGTGAGGTCTCAAGTTTGAACCTCGCTGCACCACATGGTGTTCCCAGAGGCACAAAATGTTGCTAGGCCTTGAAAATGTTGCTAATGCAGGTACTCCCCAGAATTAATAGACCCCGCTGCCACAAAATGCATGATACGTGGAGTTCAGATTTCTGGTAATAAAAAAAAAACTTTGGTCATTGGATTTGAAATGAAAGGATCGAATCCGTGGGTTGCTTATAAGCAAGAAAATTTGGGCCGCGTGTGGTTTTTCATGACTGGGCCGTGTAGGTCTAGTCACATACCTACCTACCATTACCATGCACGTAGTTTAGGAAAGTACTATTGCACATGTTAATTGTATTCCACGGTCTGTGTTATGAGTTCCATGTTTTTCTATAAATAAAAAATGCTAAAAGACTGTTCCTGCCTAACACTTGTATTATTCTGAGATTGAACAATGCACATAGCATTATATGCATGGTCATATAAGACAAAGTCAATAAGTTAGGTTGATATTCCCTTAATTTGGTCGACATGTGGGAGCAAGTGATCGATCGTTTGTAAATCCCGTCAATCATACAAGATAAATCACTATAACGGCCGATCGTATCCCCACCAGTCAACCGAATTTGTGAGATAGACTCAAATAACAGTGACGTGGAATATTCACAAAATCACCGTTTACATACCCCTTAAAATTTGGAAATTTATAATTATATTAATTCAACTCTATGCTATGCTATGCTATAGACTGTAACATACACACTAAAAAATCAAGGGTATGTGGTAGATGCATCCTTAATATAAACCATAATGGGGTTTTGCCATTAATATTTCACGGTTGATAATATATGCATGATAATTAATTTAATTGTAGTGTCAGAAACAGATGCGTTATTCATAATGACGTTCTCTTTTATTCCATTTAAAATGTTTGCAGTTTCATTCAAAAACATAAGTTTGTCTTGCTCTCCTCACCTTTAAAATGGCTAATCTTATCAAGTAATAACATACCAATGGATTAGTGAAGAGGAAAACTAATTACCACAAAATAATTTTTGACCTCAGAAATGGTGATGGTGAAATCTGAGATCATCATGAATCCACTTTTGTTCTTAGCTTTAGTCACCACATTAGTTACGGACACATGTAGTCTCCCGTTGAATAATCTCATTCATAAACCACCATCGAATTCGAGCCGCAAACATTCGATAAAACGACGTCAGTTTCCTCCGGACTTCAAATTTGGAGCATCGATATCAGCGTACCAAGTAATTTCTCGAGATCGTCCTTAAAAGAGATTAATATATTGGAATTATTTATTATAAATTTCTTAATAATTTTTTTCCCCCTTGGAATTGTTAGCATGAAGGCGCCACTTGGGTTGATGGTAGACGTCCAAGTACATGGGATGCTTTTAGTCATGCTCATCCAGGTAATTTAAGAAAAAAGTTTCCCGTCGCTATTATGTGGTGATGCTAATCGTTCTCGTCGCTAAATTAGATAGCGGCGAATGCTGAGGAGATAAAAATAAAATAAAATATCACGACAGTTGGTTGATCTTACAACATGTTGGTTGATTGAATGGCAGACAGAATACGAGGTCAAACCAACGGCGATGTCGCGACCGATTCTTACCACTTATACAAGGTATATGATATTTAATGACGAATTATATATTGGACAATTAGCTAGAGGGGATTAATTGATAGAATGCATATACTAATTAGTTGAAATGATTTAGCGGTTGTAGGATGACATAGCGCTTGCCAAACAACTCGGTTTGGATACTTTCAGATTCTCGCTCTCATGGTCCAGAATACTGCCACGTAAGTCGAACCTTATGCACATTTAATCTCAAATTTGGGCACATTAACATAAAACTATGCCATTAATCAAAGTTAACGGAGTAAAAGGATTAACTATGACCAGATAAACTAACTAATTATCGTTTGATCCTCGTCACTTTCAGATGGGAAGCTCAGTGGAGGTATCAACCAAAAGGGAATAGACCATTATAACAACGTTATTGATGAGGTTCTAGCACAAGGTTCCTACCTATAATTACTTCTATTTTAATCAGTGATCTTAATCTGATTAAATATATATAGCTTAATTTTCATGCAACTCCCTAACTTAATGCGATTAAATTAGAATAAATAAAATTTTGGATGAACTTACGGAGTATTATAATAAACAAAATAAAAGTGACTCGTCAACTTATTTGCCCACAATCAATGTCAAGGTGACAGAAATTAAGTTGAATGAATGCATATTTTATCGGTTTTCATAGGTCTTGTTTTTGTTTTAGTAATATACATCTCTGATTCTCAAAATTTAGTGGGTACCGATATATTTTGTTTTATTTGCGTCTAAAAACTCGAACCATTGCCAATCATTTGTTTGTGCAGGATTGACGCCATTCTTGTCACTCATGCACTTGGATTACCCTCAAATTTTGGAAGACGAATACAGCGGCTTTCTAAGCACTCGCATGGTGTAATTATGCCCAAACCCAAATTGATTCCAACAACAAAACCGATACATAAATCCAGTAAAATATCAAACCAACGTAAAAGACAATATAATAATCTGTTTGGAAATTTCAGGGACGATTTTAGAGATTACGCTGATGTTTGCTTCAAGGCATTTGGTGACCGAATCAAATATTGGGTCACTATAAACGAGCCGAGGACTCTGATACTAGGCGGCTACGACGTCGGCGATATGGCACCGGGACACTGCACCAGCGTTTCCAACTGGACTTGCGACGCCGGAAACTCCTCGACGGAACCCTACATTGTAGCCCACAACCAACTTCTTGCTCACGCAGCTGCCGTTCAGTTGTACAGACAAAAATATCAGGTTTTTAATCAACATTTCCACCAACCAACTTATCCCTTTTCTCGAATTGTTTTTTTGTTATTAAGGAATGGTAACGTTAGAGATGTGTTTGAAATTCATGTATAGGCAACTCAGAAAGGAATCATTGGAATATCAATGAATGCGGACTGGATCATCCCATACAGCTCGAGTAAAGGCGACATTCAAGCAGCCAAAAGAGCCCTTGATTTCACTTTTGGATGGTAAGAAGCTTATAGCTAGGTTGGAAAACGTTTAATTTGATTGACATATTTTTGCGTTGGTCTAAGTTGAAATAGTTTGTCCATTTGGAAAACTAGTCTGGGGATGATGTAGTTAATTCTGCCGCAACATTTCCTAAATCGTTTGTGACGAAAAAGTTTATATTGCAGAATCTCACAAAATTTTCTGCGATGACTTATCTCGTCGCGTAAATCTAAAAGACTATTGTAAATTTATCGACTCGGCATGTCCTGAAAAATGTAGACCATATGGAAAATATAATCTGTCACAGAAAGCCTGGTTTTAGCGATGAATTTATCCTTTGTAGCAAAATTTTGGTTGCTAAGAGTATATTTTTTCTGGTAACTAAACATGATTAACTATGATGAATATTGCTTCATATTAGGTTCATGGACCCAATATACAAGGGTGACTATCCAGAGAACATGAAACGATATGTTGGGGATCGATTGCCGAGATTTTCGAAACAAGAATCGACATTGTTGAAAAGGTCGTACGACTTTCTTGGGATCAACTATTATACTACCCAATACGCACTTGATCGGGTTGACTATAGCGATCCTCGTCACCCAAATGGCTACGATGCTCATGTCCAACTTTCTTGTAAGTTCAAATTGCCAAATCGATCTCTTATACTACTTACTGTCATAATTAATTCCAAACAACTTGATTTCTTTTCATTTGTTCATAAAAAAATTAGTTAATTAGTTCATCAATTGCAGCAAACTTACGAGATCTTTAAGCAAACCCTTTCATCCTTATTAAGAAAACGACATGATTTTTAGCGACGGGGGATACGTCAACCAAATGCTGAGCTCTGATTAAATGTGTCTTTTGGTCCCCTAAAATTAGAATTGATTAGAAAGTATATCTTTGGAAACCATACTTTTTGAGTCGTCATCTAAAGTTCGAATATATAATCGTCATGAAAACTTAGGTACTTGAAAAAGAAATTAGGTAATCCTCTGTTAATATTAGTTGTTGAATTGACTAATCATACCATCTACAAATATGAAATTTGTGAATAGCTTTTGCTAAATCTAATCCTTTCTTATTATCTAAATTAACACAGTTGTAAGAAATGGACAAGTAATTGGACCTCAGGTGAGTATGTTACTTATTCCCCCCTTAATTCATTTTAATTGCATGTAATGATAAATTAATGTAGTCATGCTCTTGAATCATGTAGACAGTTACACTATGGATGACAATCTATCCTAGAGGACTTTATAATCTCTTACTCTACATAAAAGACACCTATCAGAATCCTCTTGTCTATATTACAGAAAATGGTGGGTGATTCTTGCTTCGGGTTAAAATACCTAATCTTCAGATCATTTGACTAGTTGATTTCAGTAGGAAATCAATCTAAATGTTGCACGAATTTTGCAGGACTCCCTGACTCGGGAAACTATACACATTCACCACTTGAAGCACCGCCAGATGATGAATCAAGAATTTCATATCTTCAAGATCATCTCATATCCCTCAGAAGAGCTATGAAGTATGCAATAAGACTAGTGAATTCGAATTCATCCATCATCTTGCTTGCTGTAAAATGGGCTACATTTTCCTACAAGAGAGCTAATGAACTAAATATATTTGGCGTCGAAAATTTTGGTTGCAGAAAGGGAGCAAATGTGAAGGGCTATATGGTGTGGTCATTACTTGATGGGTACGAGTGGACCGGTGGTTACGAGTGGAAATTCGGATTGTACTATGTTGACCATTTCAAAGCCCCTTCGACCAGAATTCCAAAGATGTCTGCAATTTGGTTTAGGAAGTTCCTCAAACGAATTAATTAATTAGTCATTGATTTTTTTAGCATACATGTAATACGCATTTGTGCGGCAGAAATGTACTCAACTTTACCATGTGTTGAAATTCTTGAAAATCATAGGATGAGAACTGAGAAGTATATGCATCTTACAAAACGAGAATGTATTCTTTACCGGCTTCGATTATTTAACTTTTGGAGACGACTTTTATCTTCAGTTATATAATAATGACGGCCTCAATAAAAATGTTTTAGCGGCATGTGATAAATCAAAATGCATATTATCGCTTCATGTATTTGTTTAATAGTGCGTTGCATCAATTATTTTTTCCAGCCTAAGCGTCGCATCAATTATTAATGACAATGAAGAGTGTATCACTGTTTATTAATAACGAAAAAGGGCATCAAAGCCATGTTCTAAATAAGAAATTGCGGTTTAGAGTGATCAAGTCCTTCGTATGCATTAATAATCTTCCTAAATCCCCAATATCCATACGTACATTGTACTCCAACTTGAGGTGGAAGTGTCGATCACTGTCGTTCACCTTCTCTTCCTCTGTCGATTCGTTTGCTCTATCTATAATTATTAATTTTTTGTTATGACTATATAAGATTTTGAATCAAGATAGAACTACATAGTTACTCTGTTATTCAATCTTTGTGCATGTGATTTTGTAATTGCTTCTATCGTCTTTGATGAGTTAGAATTTTCGCATCTTACCGCCACCATGTATACACATCTTCAATCAAACATTTAATAGAAACCCAAGTAAAATTATGACTAAAAGAAGTCTATCGAAACAGGTAAAAAAACGAGATGAAAAACACCATAATAATGCAGCCCTTCTCCCTCACTTTCTGTTGCAAGGAAATTTGGATAATCACAATAAGAACCCCAGATACAGAGTACATAAGGTTGGCTTATTGAGAGTGATGGTAGAACTAACAAACATTTAGTTCCATAACCAAACTCCCGATTTGATTCTGACCTTTCGCTGTAACATGCAGAACCAAAAAAGACAATTCTAAACCGAACAAAAGGGTTAAGAAAATAAAAGTGGAGTTAGAGCACCAATATTTTCTTGGCTGCCAAGACTGCGGCACCCAGCTTCAGTCAGCTGCTATAACCAAACATCGACCAAGGACGAAGCAGAATTTGGCTGCGAAAATGGGCACATAAATATTCCTCTGCCTGAGCTACTTCAACTCTAGGAAAAGAACCTAACTGGGGGAATAAGAATGTGTGGATTCTTCACCGGAAAAGCTTCCTAGAGCAGGTACTTTTCAACCACTGTTCGGCCAAACTTCTCTTCGACGTCCTTTGGAGTTTCAATCTGTAGAATAAATCGAACAAGTTTGGAAAGTAAATGTCAACAAGGCAGAAGAAAAATACTTTGAAAACAAGAATCCTATGAGCTCTCGTTGCAAGACTTGGCCACTTACTGCATTCAGGGCTTTGAACAGAGCCTTGACGGTGTTGTGAGGATTCCGTGAGCCAACAACCTGACAAGAGAAGGGACAAAATATGAAGATGGCAGGTCTGATGGATTACAAGAGAAGTGACCGACGGCCAACCGATTCCAGTTTTCCAGTTAACCAGAAGCTGAACAAGTTAAAATGGTAACTAGTAACCGTCCTAGTACAAACAATTTTTGTTCCGTGGCCATTTCGTGGTTGTCCGATTACATGCTGGAAACCATAATGTAACACAAAACCAGTGAACAAACTGGAAACTTTTTAACTAGATCACCGAAAACAAGGAAAAGGATTATATTTCAACAAGTGTACCCCATAAGAACATGAAAAACCAACCCATAACAGTCATTAAGCTTGGTTCAACTGCCAGTTACCAATTAAGGTTAACGATTCGGTTGCCTATTGGCTACTCAACTACAATTAAGGTTTCAGTTATTTAATTAGTTTTGGGTTTTTCCAATTCGTTGGATTTGATTCTTGAACAACAAGCGAGTGCCAGAACAATCTTTTACCTTGGATTTGACATTCTTGAAGCCAGCCAGATTCAGAATTGTTTGGACAGTTTTCCCTGCTTTCATACCTGTTCTAGTTGGCGCCGGCCATAGATAGACCTATGAAATAAACGGAAAATTTAGGCACCAAATAGGCAAGAGGAGAAAAATATCTGAGAAGAATAAGTGATTATACCTTGGTCTTTTTATATTCAGTTTGTATGGTATGTGCGATTGTGTGCTCCTCATGTCGTTCTATGTAGTGGAGATTCTGAAAACACTTCTCGTATGCCTGCTCATAAAATCCAAAACGGGGACATGCAAAATCGAGAATAAGCATTTGCTAATGAAAACCACAGTGACTTGCACAAAGAAGGAAAAATCAACTCACTTCCTCTTCTCAACATAAACTAGGCTAACTAAGACTAGACAAAGTCCAGAGAAGCTCGAAAGCACAGCAAAATTACCTTCTGGAGAGCAATCGGGATGGCAGGTCCTTTGGCTTTAGCAAACCCAACAACACCATGATAGTTCCCACAAGCTAATATAGCAGTGTATTTGACAACTTGCCCTCCCTTACAGAAGATACACAAGGACTTTAGAAAATAACAGTTCTTGAAAACACTTGCAACGAAAAAGAACCACAGTGGCAAGATTATAATACCTTTGTAACTTTACAAGTTCGATTCACGTCGATCAACTTCACATCAAAACCCTGTCAGTATTTTATCAAGTTTGGTTAATACATTAATTATATCATTGTCACACACAACAAGCATTACGAAAAGGTGTCCTAAGAAGAAGGAAGTAAAAGGGTGAGTTCCCATTTCCTCAAGAGTAAGAGCAAACATCCAAATGCATATCGCCACCAATAACATGGCAGTTGTAGCCCACCATTGACATCGATTAATCATATACATGTGTAACTGATGCCATAAACAAGTATATCGGCTCATTAATATTATGTTATACTTGTCCATCACAACATTGCGGTGCATCCTCAAAGGAATAACATGCTACTTTTGATACTTACAGATCAAGAAAAGATCAGAGAGATGATTTATTCAATATCAACGAGATCAAATGCGTCATCAACTGGAAGGAAACCTTTATTCTCAAACTGGTACTATATTTTCAAGCCAAGGTCCATAGTTTAACTCACAACCAAGAGTCGGCACGAAACTGTATCATCATTGTATTGAAGAAGGGTAAAACAATAATAGAGACAGCAGGGTTTTTTTATTTGGTATAAAGACAGAAGATTAATACACAAATGTCAATTGTTTGATCATTAGCAGAATTCATTATTCAGTTCTACTTGGTGCAAGAACTGTCCACCAGCTACGGTGGTAGACTTTAGAAAACAGACTTTTGGCAATTTTAGTATAGATAAGAAAGATAGACATACCTTTCTATACATTGGTTTCCTTTTCTTTTCTGTCAGAGCATTTCTCTCCACAGCGAGATCTCTAATCTCCTCCTCAAGAGCTTTGCCTCTCTTTCCAAATGTATAATCCAACTCCGCAAGCTTCTCCTCAAGTGTCTTATCAAGAGCATTCAGCTTCTCTAATAGTATATCATCTCTTTCCTTCATGTCATCAAACTCCTCTTCCTCATCACTATCTTGGACTGTTTCCTTCTCATCCTTCTCATCATCACCATCAGCATTTTCAATGAGATCGACGTTAGATCCCACTTGAGAATGTTGAATAACTCCAAAATTAGCTGGATCATTAGGATCATAAGCTTCCTTCCAATTCACCATCCTCAACGCCCTGTTGATCTTCTGTTGCAGGATAAATTTTTCCTTGCCTTCGGATACCTTTAGACGATTCATCAACTCACCAATGACCCTGTACTCTGGCCGAAGTCTAAAATGCTTTTGCTCAAACTTGTCAATTCTACTCATCCATTTGAAAGCCTCGTCGAGTGTCTCTGCAATGAAGAATAGAAAGAAAAAAAAATACATTGCATCCATTGCCAAATACAGAAATTAAAACCAACTCTCTTTCTGTCATTCACTACATACCACTCTCAGTGAAATTGTCAAGCAACTCTTTATGTCGTTTGTGCTTCTTCTGAAATTGATCAAACTTTTTCCTGATAGCATCTGGTGCAAACCTTTCATCATCTTCATCGCTATCTGAATCAGAACGCTCCTCATACATAAGCAGCTTGTCACCGACTTCTTTCAGCTTCTCCTTCTCTAACTTCTCAATCAGAGGCCCGACACCCATGTAATCCTCTTCATCTTCTGCATCAAGATCTTTAGTATCCAACCCTGCACGTTTCCTAGCCTCTTTTTCCCTCTGCTTCTCACGCTCTACTTCTACCAGAATTTCCTGCACTTCACGAGATGTTGCAGCAGCTGATGTCGAGTAGCAGCTACCAGAGGAGTAGGAGAATCTGGGTTTTTGGGTGATGCAAAATCGCTGAGAAGATTGTATATTGGGGCGAAATTGAGGGTTTGGAACTCTTCTCAGAGTTCTTAGGCAACGATGGAAAAGGGTCCGAGTACCATGCATCTTGCTGGACACACACAGACAGATACTGAATGGAGATAAAGAAAACCAGACTATCTTAGTGGAGATCACAGGATTCCTTGATACCAAGACATGATAAAGGGTTCATCAAATGTGTCAGGTCTTTGCATCGCTTCTACACTGCAATCTGCCGCAAAAGTTCTGGCAAAATTAGAACTAGTAGTCTAAGAGAAAGAAGTGTCTTCAAATTAACTAGAAATAACAACTGAAACAGCATCCTCAAAAACCACCCACTCAACCCAACCCAAGTTTCACAAAATATCAACCGAATACTCAATGAACGGCGATCCCTAAATCTCAAATCAAGTTATTTCCAAATGAAATCAAATGAATGCAACTTTGGAAATCAGCAAGCAGTAGCAAGAGAGAGACCCATGGAGCTTACAAGAACATGGGAAGCAAGGGGTCGATCGAGGATGGGAACCAAAGTCCGCGAGAAAGAGAGAAGATGGCCAGTCGAGCAGCGCGGAGATAATAAGCAGTTTCAAAGATGAAACCCTGCGTGGCGAATTTTAGCCGAGGCTGAGAGTCACAGAGACGAGTGATTGTCGGAGATGTACGGTAATCGGAGAAGAGCGACGACGAGGTGCTCGGCGGAGGGAAGGGTTTAGGGAGGAGTGAGGAAGATGGGAGGGTTTGTCGAGTTTTTTCTTCACTCCAGATTATTATTTTCAATTATTTAATATGTCATTCACCGAAATGGTCACTTAACTTTGGGACTGTACCAACATGGTCAGGTAGCTTTAAGAGTTCACAAAATGGTCAAAAAAAAATTGGTAATAACAAAACAAAATGATGTCATTTTAGTGAATAAAATAGTCAATAAAAATTAATTTTTTACTTATTTCATAAATTCAAAAGTTGAATGCTAATATTATTTGTTGGATTCAAACATAAAAATTTCAATGTTGAAGTTAAATGTTGTATTTAAATATGTGTATTTATAATTTTGTTTTGAATGTTTTTCATACTTTGCATAACCATCCTCAATTATATAATACTTTAATTCATTTGATGTTAATGATTTTCATATTTTTTATATTTTATTAAACTAATATGGTTCACACAATTCGATTTTACCATTGGTCAAACTCTACCACTTGCTAACCGTCGCATATTTGATAGACATGATTCCTTTGTGGGAGCCATTCATCGAAGTTGATCCTTTTGTGGGTTTCTTCAAAGAAAGCAGAAAACCAACAATAATGACAGGTCTACTCGAAGTGGCATCTTATTAGAAATAAATGGTTGTAGGATTCCACAGACAGTCAGACATCACAACAGAGTTACTTAAATTATAGGCAGCTTAGTTCTCAACTAATGAATGCCTTGATCCTTGCCCTCTTTAATCTCTATCATGAGCAGTTACCAATTCCACCACAATCCTGACCTTCTTCCAAGTCACAATTGCAAGAGCAGAAGTAAAGGAAAAAAGGGCTTATTCCATTCCAGCTAGACCTGCCAGCACACTCTGCTGTCCAAAGTCTGTTTTATACCTTTCTCCATGTTCCTATGTTCTTATTCACACATCTGCTGCACTTGAAATTAAGCTCATCAGCCATCCTTTTGCCACCTCTCTATCCACCTTTCTTGCCGGCACCAGAAATTTTGAGATTATCCTCCCAATTTTCCACATCTTACTACTTTTGCTTTGAGACTTGATTTGGACTTTTCCATTGAATTTCTGAAGCTTAAGCCGACAATCAGTAAGGTCCCCATTTCAGGACCTTCCAGTAATAGCTCGAGTTGAATTGCAACTTGCAAGTCCATATAGAAAGCCATGCCATTTCGTAACTGTAAATGCTCTAAATATTATATTTGAAACTAACCATGAACCTCACTTTCTCCTAGAGTACTCTCAGATGTGGACTTATGAGATTCCAACTGCAATCACTCTACAGAGACATGCACAACAGCAAAATCATTCCTTCTGATCAGGCCAGCAAAAAATGTGACTCACTACAATGAAGCAAGACGGCAGCTTGGGAACTAAGCTGCAAGAGTTTCCGCACAAGTGTCAAGTAGACAGGCAATCATATCCAATCAATCGTCTTGCCGAAAGCCTATGCTCGAGTAATTTACAATACAAGATAAGAATATCAACATGCACGATGTGAAGGTGCAGAAACCTTTTCAACCACCATTGACTTCAACCAATCGTCTTGCCTAGAGCCTGCTCAAGTAAATTCCAATTCAAGGTTGAATCAGATTGCCAACATGTACGACGTCACACTGCAGAAACCTTTTCAATCACCATTGAGTACCGACAGAGCCATTGTATTAAGCTTCTCTTTGCATCAATCTTGTTATTAATACTTAATAATCATATGAACAGCACAACAGTAAAGCACAAATGCTTTCAGAAGATCCCATCAAGCATGACACAGTCATGTGGCTAACTGAGTAAACCTTCTATTTCCACATCAGGCCATTCGAACAAGCAAAATTAATAAACAGACATCAGGATCAATCATCATAGTAAAGGATCATATGGAAAGTACGACATCCAGAAACAGAATTTCTATTCTACTTCCTAAGTCACATCATCATAGTCAAACCATCATAGGTCACGAGTCTCGGTACTTGACTACATAATCAGATAACACAATTGTCATATCAATAGCTTCAATAATGAACCAACAAGATGAGATATTTTCTTGCTTTATATATATTGCAACATACACAGATCCTTCATCCATGAAGGACTTAACTGCACAGTACTTCCAAAAATTGGAATAGAGGGCAGCTGCAACAAATGTACTATCAAGTAATCATGTCAATCGTAAACATAACAAATAGTATATATATTCTCTTAGCATTCCAGTTAGATCATTCAAAAGTTCCCCTATATGAAGATCTAGGACTTTCAATACTGTCTTGATCGAAATTGAGATGGAGCAGAGGGGTAACCGATGACGATCATCTCAGAGTAACACACAAAGGGACACAACAGTTTGATAAACCATAACTTGACATGGTGGGTAGTAATTCTTTGTATTTTTAAACATAAAGGACAATGTTTTCCAGTTAGATCATTCAAAAGTTCCCCTCCAGGCCTCCAACTAAAGACTTTTGTTACTGTCATTCTTAAACATGAGATGGAGCAGAGGAGCAGCAACTGATTATGATCATCTCAAAGTAAAGAAAAGAAACAGAACATTTTGATAACCAGAACCTAACATAATGGACAGTGGTATTTTGCTAAAATCATTCGAAGTTGCCCGCTAGGACTCCAATTAGGACTTTCAGCCTAACAACCAGTCATTGAACTTGAGATGGTGCAGAAGCAGCAACAATTAATGATCGTCTCAGAATAACACACAAATGGGTAATAAACAACGGACTCAATTTATGACCTTGTCTGACAAAATGGAGCATAAGGGCAAGTGGAATGGTTAAATAATCGCTTGGACAAATAGCGTTCTTACTCAAACATAGCCAATCTATGTATTTTCTCAATCAGTATTAATCATCACAAAGTTCCCATATAGGACTCTAGTTAGGGAATTCAATGTGTATGATAGAGCAGAAGGGCAACTAGAATGATTAGAGATAATTTCAGTTGCAGTAACAACATAACACAACTTTCGGTCCAACTTCCTCTCTCTAACATAGCCACCATGCCATTTTATAAGTTGAGTCACATCCAGGACTCTAGCTGAAGCATTCGGACTAGGATAGAGCAGAAGAGAAACTGGAATGATCATAGATGATTTCAGTTGTAGAAACAATGGGACACAACTTTCCTACCAATTTCTTTTCTCAAACATGGCCACCATTCTGTGTCTTTACCTGTTTGAATCATTCCAAAGCTTCCCTCTAGGACTCTATTTATAATTCTCACTTAATAGCATCGAGCAAAAGTGTAACTTGAAAGGTTAAATGGTCACTTCAAGAGAAACCAACATGGACACGGATATTATTTTGTGTGTCACCAGATTAACATAGGGTCAACAAGGAGACACTGATTGAATGGAACAACCAAAACTTTAAGTTCATTCTAGCTATGGGACAAGCAGTAGGATATGTAATGCAGTTTGCAAAACTTGAAGAAATTTAATAATTGCAAAAGGATGGGGCCACCAGAGGGCAATAATCGGACAGCCGCATTGAGCTACTTCAACAAAAGATATCCATTCAAAAATTATTGCAGCAAGTTCATTGATGAGAAAATCAAGGCAATTCAAGGATCTTCCATCCCTATTCAAGATTCTAGCAACAGAGAAGGGACATTAAGAACCATATCACAGCAAGGACCTATCCACCAAACAATGAAAGATCGGCATGGACATCCAACCTTTTCGGCCTCTATGTATATGTCCTCATCATGCCATTTGAATGGGAAAAATAAATGAAGGGGAGGCAGAATAGATTACCAAAGAATCTGCATCTTACTAATAGTGGACGGACATAAAAGAAGACCACCATCTTTCCATCAGGAAGCATCACCAGAACTCCATTACAGGAATGCAACCAGAGCTTTTAACATAGAAAAGAAACCCAGGAAGTATCACCAAAACTCCATTACAGGAATGCAACCAGAGCTTCTAACATGGAAAAGAAACCCAGGAAGTATCACCAAAACTCCAATACATGAATGCAACTAGAGCTTTTAACATGGAAAAGAAACATGGGTTTCATAAGCTGGAAACAAAGTCGAAGGTCATCTATCAAATAAGAAATGAACGATCATAAGGCACGTAAGACCACCAGAAAACACAGTTTCTATTCTTCTTTCAAGCGGCAACATCATGGCCACACTGTCATGACTCGTGAGTCTCTGCTATTCACCTCATAATCAGTGGACATTATTGTCATATCAACAACTTCATCTATGAACTAACAAGGATGGAATATTTTCTCGCTAGAGCATAAGTACTACTCATGAAGTTAAATTAAGAAAAGGAAACTATAATGAATAAGTACTCATGTCAATTTTGAACGTAACATACAGTACTTCCAAGTATTTTTGTCATATCATTAACCCCTAGGATTTCCATTTAGGGCTTCCACAGTTAACATTGGGACCGAGCAGAGGGGCAACCGAATGTTATCATCTCAAAATAACGGGCAAAGGGACACAACATCTGGAGCAACAACATGGTAACCAATCCATGTCCATCTCGGTTAGTATCACTCACTCCAAAGTTCCCTTCTAGGACTCCATTTATGACTTTGTCTTCACAAGATAGAGCAGAAGGGCAACCGGAATGATTAAATAATTGCTGGAATTTCGGACAGACAACGTTCTTACTCAAACATGGTCACCAAACCATGTATTTTCTCACTCAGTATTGATCATTCCAAAATTCCCATCTAGGACTCTAGTAAGGGCATCACCGAGTAGGATAGAGCAGAAGGGCAACTGGAATGATTCGGGACAATTTCAACTGTAGGGACAACGGGACACTTGCGGACCAACTTTCTTTCTCAAACATGACCACCAATCAATGGATTTACTTGGTTTCAAATAAGCATTCCAGAATTCCCCTCTAAGACTCCAATAGTAATTTCCACTTTACTAGATAGAGCAGAAAGGTAACTATAGTGTCTAAAAGATTGATTCAACTAGCATCAACACGGCATTAGATAACCATTTGTGATCACCATACTACAAAGGGTACACAAGGTGACATTGATTGAATGAAACATTGCAGAATTCAATTTTACTT